ACAAATTTTGATGCCTGTATATCCATTATTTTTTTTCTGTGCCTCTTATGACACTATTTTGGGAAACAGTCAATGAAAGCCCAGATGTAAGAGCCCATTTTCCACTGAGAGGAATGAAATGAAGGGCAGTGCATTTGGTCTCTCATGTTCATTCTATTTCTTTGGCTGACTGCGTTAAAGTCTGCTGGAATGTCATGAAACTATCTTAAAGAGACAAGATAACCAACTGCATTGAAATGTGGTCATTGCAACAGATATCTGAAAGTGGTAGTAAAACAATAACTGAAGCCCTGTCCTACTTTCAAACTAGCTTGTGTCCCATTGGCCTTCATTCCACAATGTATTTTTGCACCGAGGGTTTTCTTTTATCCGTCTTTGCAGAAAGCATAAATAATAATTCTGCTCACATTCTCTTAAATCGGACATGTTTATATATCTAAATGAATGTCTCTATGAGCTATTAAGATGTCAAACTCTTCGTCACAGCATTGACCTTCTTTAGCTTGAGTCTTATACTAGAACAGAAACATTATAAAAACTTTGTCATATAATAATTAGAAAATAACAATATAAAATGTAAATATTTCTTGTTGAAATGATGAGGTACTTTTATTAGCAAGAACATAATTTGGCTGAGTTGGCTGCTGGGTGATGAAGGACATTGTTCTAAATAAATGCACTGAAATAAACTGAATGAAAACAATATCTGTGTATTCCTTCAGTGTCTCGTCCTCTGAACACCACAGGATGGAGACTGTAACACACAAGCCCCCACAGTGTCCTTCTGAACTCACTGATACTTTCTATAAGAGATCCTCCCACATGCGTCAGCTCAACACTTCAGGCTGCAGCCGTCAGTGCACATGCTCTGTCAATATCTAGCTAATCTTTGATGTTGATTTCTGTACAGTGACATGGCTGGACAGCTAGCTTGTCTTATTGTTAAACATAGTGTCAAAACAAATTTAGCGGTTCTGGACCGTATGCAATGTTACTGACTTTGAATCTTGCTAGCCTAACGTAATGATGTGTTTTCAGGGAAACAGAGTTAAACTTTAGATTCTGATTGTAAAATGCATTAAAATATTAAATAATGATCTTATTTTTTTCTTTGATAAGTGACCGTGGTATAAACGGGATAATGCCCTTCGATGTGTCCATTATCAGGAATTAATGGACTTTGCTGAGGCAACCGTCCTCCGTATCTTGCCTCCACGTCCATTAATTCCTGATTATGGACACAGCATCGGGCATTATCCCTTACTTAGAACAGCACTGGCAACATATTTCACAAAACCACAAAATAAACCACGAAACAAAGGCTACAAGAACTGTAGTCTGATCAGGACTGTGTGGAATGACAATAACCACGGTTGAGCATGCACGTTTGCCAAACTTAAAATGCAGAGAATGAACTCAAATAAAAACCCTGGAAACCCTTCCTACTCCATGAGAATTTCTGTGATAAAAACCTCTAAATCTATTGATACCTTCATACACACTATTAAATCCAATGCAATATTTCATTCATTATTCAGGGATACCTTAAAAGCTGTTCTGTGTAGCAAAAATATTTCTTATTTCTTTCATCTCACAAGGAAAGTGATCAGAAAAGATGGTTACAAGGTCTCTGTGTTTTCATCTCAGCTACAACCCCTTCTCCAGAGCTGTATAAAAAGAGATTTGTACTCTTGAGTAATAAATAAATGAAATTAAATGAGATCTAGTGTCTCAATTTTTATACACCAACCCACGGGCTGTCATATGAATATGAAAACATGTCGACGACTGGCACATCAGCTCAGCAGCTTCTCCAATACCTCAGATTAGGAGTAGGTCAAACCGTCTTGTTTCTAACAGGCTCTTAAAGACATTTCACACCTCCCTCTACAAATCTGACGGAAGCGGTATGGACAGTTTTCTTAATGATTTAGAGTTCCACACAATTGACCCAGGGTAGGCCAGTGAACTGAACAGGCCTTTGCAAATAGGAGAGAATATAGAGGCTATTAAGTCTACGCAAAGCGGGGAAGGCGCCGGGCCCAGATGGCTACAGGACAGAGTTTTATAAGATGTTTTGTGACAAGCTTGCACCAATTCTACTAAATATGTTTAATGAGTCATTGGAGGATGGATCTCTGCTCCATACACTCACTCAAGCTATTACTTTAAAAGGACAACGACCCCACAGAATCTTAAAGTCTATTTTCATTGCTTAACACAGAAAGTGAAGCGCTAAGGTGATAGCCAGACGCCTTGAAGATGATCTTCCCCTGATTACTTGTAAGGTACAGACGGGCTTTATCAGCTGTCGGCACTCATTTTCCAAAGACTTTTAGATGTAGGGATGTCACGAGAACCAGTACTTCTCAAAGTTCTGAAAACATGACTTTTCTACAGTGCCATAAGGTACCGGGGAAGCATATACATCTGCAAATATTCTAGTCTATAAAAATCTAATAACACGTTGAAGATGGCGACAAGTGCAGCGACAGCTCTGCCTCGAGTTGTTGAAATGATATGAACTCGTCAGACGTGTGCTCACATGTTGGTAATACTCTGTTTGGTTTAGGCAGAGCATGCAAGAAGAGGAGGAGGAGGGCTCATCTGTTACTGTTACTGTTAATTACAAACCAAATCTGACCAGAAATCACAAAACCTTCTACGTGTGACAGAAACAGAGGGTGAAGAGATGCTTTGTGTTGATTTTATAACTGAACTATGAGCAGGATACACAGACTGTGTGGAAATCTGATGTTTACACCTGAAATTACACTAATGAAAACACACCTTTTAGTATCATATTCCATTTCTGCCAATAGAGCCTCTTATATGTTACACACTGGACCTTTAATGTCTGAAACTTGGTCTGCCGTGTTCAAACTCCCCTCTGGCACTTCGTACTAACAAAGTTTGATTCCTTTAGACATTCAATTTATTGAAACACCACGTCTAAAAATAGGGATATAGTCTCTAAGTCAAAGTCCAGATGGGAGGGGGGAACTGTGAATAGAACTGGCACAACAGGATTGGTGGGAAGTGGCATTAGATAGGGTGAATTCATCATCACCCTATGCTCATTTGATCCAGTAGTGCACAGAGCCCACTTCAGTAAATCTAAACTGCGTGAAATGTACCCTGATTCCAATCCCAAATGTGATTGTTGTGGCAGTCTACAGACAGACCTCTCACATATGTTCTGGTCTTGCCCAAAGCTTGAAACGAATTGGTCTTTGATCCTTGATGTATTCTTGACATTGTCGAACAACAGTTTACTTGTCTTGTTCGTTGCTGGCTATTTTCAGGGTGCCAGCGGAGCCCCTCAACCTGGTTGACATGATTGTTTTCCGTTTCGAGCCAGCGAGGAATACTCACCTAGAAATAGCTTAGCACCCCCCTTTCACCCCAAATTCTCTCGGTTGAAAGATGTGATGTTGTTTTTGCATCTAGAATTGATAAAGTTTACGCTTAGAGGGTCTAGTGAGCACTTTCTGAAGAAGTGGCAACCCTTTGTCTCCTATTTTAATAGCTTACCTGTTCTTCCTCCAGACTGATTGCCTGTGTTTCTACACGATACCATCTGATTAATGTACTCAATCTCACGCCCAAAAATAAACAAGTTAAAGGACGGATTTCTTCTTTTCTTATTATTTCCCTTTTCTTTCTTTTTTTTCTTTCTTTCTTTTTCTTTTCCACTTTTTTTTCCAAGCCATTTACTTTACTCACCCCATTGTTAGTATAATTGTATTGTTTGTCACAGAGTGTAGGAAAATCCTCTTGTTATGTTTTTTTGAGGCCTCCATGCTGGTGCCGTGGCCAGAGGCATTATCCTTCTATGGGTTTGTGCGTCCCATCCCATTCTCGTGAACGGGATATCTCAGGAATGCCTCGTGGGAATTTCTTCCAATTTGGCACAAACATCAACTTCAGGACTGATTAGATTTTGATGGTCATAGGTAAAAAAAAAAAAAAAAAGGCATTCATGGTGGAAAATTGAGCAACTAACTCTGTTATTTGGTAGGTCGTCAAGACTCTTTATCAGTAATGTGACTCACACCAAGTGCACATTTAGACTATAGGGTGTGTTTTATTGTTTATTTGTAAGATAAATATTATATAAATGTTCTTTGTTATTTCAAATGTTACACACTCTCATCAGTTGCTTCCTCCATCTGTGCACTGATGTTTCTTTGTGTATTTTAATCTCACTATGTTGGTTGTTTAAGTCATGAAGAGCACATAAAAGACAAAAGTGTCACACCGACACTTAGTGAGTGTCAAATGAAATGTTCACAATAATAATGTTAATTGGGGTCAGCGCATTTATTCACTGGCTACTTATTCTGATATTTAATGTCACGTATGATTAATTGACAATAAAGCAAAGCTGTTAACTATTAATTCGATTTATTAACAGAACTGCAGAATTTACAGCTTATTTTATTTTATGATTCACCTGCATCAAGACTGACTAGGATGTCTGTGAATTCGTGGAATTTATTAGGATCCTCTGAGCAACATAAAGGAATGTGACTTTGAATTCTGTGTTCAGTCCTATAATTGCACTTTTTACACATTGAACAGTGTCCTTGTTGGCTTTAGTTGCACAAAAAATAACACAGACTATAGGGCGACCTCAATAACACTTGTTTTCTTTCTTTAAAGCTCCTCTGACACTAACATAAGGCTAATTTTTCTGCTCTCTCTATGTGTTAACAACTCATAATTCGAAGAATAAAACATGAACTGACCTCTTATTAAGTTTCAGTTCATTTAGTTTGACCAGAGCACTGTTCTCACAGCATATTAAATCCTTAGTGCAAAGAATCGTGCATTTTCAGAGTTTCAGGTCTGACCTGAACAACGTAAAGTGATTCTGACAACACACAAAAAAACATATTTCAACTGTATAAGGCAAATTTGAAATGCAATTTTGAAACATATTCGGCTATTTTTTCCAATTTTCTCTACTTTTCCTGTTTTTCTCATACCACCTACAGGGCCAAATTGCTACGCGGACACAGCAGTGATACCGGCTGGCCGAGAGGTGAAGATTGATGAGTGTACAATCTGCTACTGCACATACGAGGAGGGCACATGGCAGATTGAGCGTCAGGCCACCTGCAGCAAGAACGAGTGCCAGCGGAGCTAGAGACTGGCACGGTGAGAGGGGACATTGGCACACAACACCAGCGCCAAGCCGCATGTAAACTCTCAGCCTTTCACCCAGTCTACCGGACATCAGGGTCGGACGGCAGCCCCTCGCAGCGTTTCAGCATTTATAGTCACTCCTGTATTACTTTAAAAAAAAAATGCTTTTATGAAAGTTTATAATCCACACACAGAATATCTATTTATCTATGTATTGAATTATTTATGAATATATACAAATATAGGAGTCATTAATGCTGAACTAGTGAAAAAGTATTTTTTATAGCCTCTGTATTTTAATAAGCAATGTATTGGACCAGAGGTCAATAAAAACAGAATGTATAGAACACACACAGCTGTCTTTGGAGGTGAAAACCTCAATGTCTCGACATGCGTCAGTCCCTCTACCACCAAAGTGCAGACCAGACTACAAGATTTGCTGTGTAGGACGATCAATTGCAGAGTTAAAAACAACAACGAGAAGAGGACTTGACTGTTTCCTGACTTTCTTTCATCTTTTTTTTTTTTGGATGTTCAATTGTGTTTTGATTTTAAAGTGCTTTTTTTGTATTTCTCTTGGTACCGTGTGGTCATGTTTCAAATAAATGCCAACCTGCGCTCTGTAAATGCTCAAATGGTACTTTTCAGCTGTAGGTCTTCATGTTTAGTCTTTGCTGAAAGGATGGTGTTTTACATTTACAGACTTTCAATTGAATAAAATGTTCACTTGAATCAACAAATGATACAGAGATGGAATGATAAACCCAATTTTTCTTCCGGATTTTGCGTTTTAAGATATTACAGGTAACCTTTGGATGTGACAGTGAACAAATCCAGCCTTTAGATGTAACGTTAGGCATTTTTCTGTTTTGAAGTTCCAGGATGAGAACTGTTTGTGGGAAAGCTACAGGTAAATATTTAATGAGTTGTCAAGAGGATATTAAGTTATTTAGTAATGCTGCGGTTTCATTTTCAATAGCTATAAGCATTACAATATAAAGTGAGAATCTCCATAGCTGCCTGTGGACCTTCAACTCCATTAAAGAAGGCCAGACTGGACGCTCAGATGTCATTGATCCCAATTTGCTTCCAAAAATTAAAAAACTGAAAGGTCATCTTCGGTCTGAGGATGAGGAGTAATGAATGTCATGTATCTGGCGGAGCCATGGGGCCCATCGAACAGCAGATCAAAATGATGATTAATAATTTAAGTCCAAGTTACAGTATGAACACTGAAGTGCAGGTTGAGATAAACGGATGCAGATGTTGTGTTTGTTTTTTTTTTGTCTCCGTTATCTTTTGCAGCCCTACTCTCTCTTGTGTCACCCTTTTTTGCAATGTGTGCTGGCCACGCCACAGAACTCCTCTTTGATCGAGAGGTTGCCAGACAACGACGTTGCATCTCCAGCAGTGAGACGTGCCTGTCAGCCAGCCGGCAGGATCGAGGTAAATAAGCTTAAATGCATGTACATGCTACGTGACAGGCTTCTCTCAGAGCAGTAGGGGAGCGTTGGCACAGATCTATTAAGGTTTTCTGACCAGCCTTAACTCCTCTGTTTCTATGACTATAAGGGTCCTTTCAAACTAAACTCATTCATTCAAGGGAAAACAGGACTTGTGCTTGTGCATACAAGTGCTAAATGATTGTGGGATTTTTCTCTTCTATCCATCAATCCTCACTCGTAATAGGAACAGCTTATTTTAATGCGCCTTGTTCTCCCCCCTCGGTTTTTCGTCTTTTCAGAGGAATTATTGCCTTGCCCTCTCTATTCTTTTATATCACAAGATAATATCCCCATATGTCTCGCTTCCCTGCTGCGTATCAGCCGAGGAAGTCACGACTCTGACCAGGGATGTTATCTGTCACCCCTATCTGCTCTGTCCAGGTCATTAACATTCACAATTGGCTTTAAATCAGTTAAATATTCCAGCAGTTATTTCACTTCTCTGTATGACTGGATGGAAGAAAGTGTGATTAAGACTGCCTACAGAGTCTACTCATCAGAAACGAGGCTGGGTCTTTTACTTTGAAATACAATTCCCAGAGTAGTAGGCATCTAAACTCCTTCAAAGACTTGCCATTAATTGGACACATCTGTTGGAGTAACCCATAAGAGATTAGCCTAGTCTCCCCAACGCTGTAACTAAGTAATTAGGCTTCTGCCCCGTTCTGGACAATGCACACACAGCTGAACTGAGATGAGATGTGTTCATATTACAGTAGGTGATGAAATTCATTATTCATTTATAGCTATTGGCCAGCTCTCTAATTTGAAATGGAAGCGTAATAAGTTTGGAGAAACCAAAGTTTGGTCAACAAAAGAAAGTTTCAAGCGCTTCAACAACATGCAGTCTCACAGTAACTATTATATAAAGCCATTAAATCAGATGTCCTCCAGAGTTATTGGGTCTTGATGAAGGATTGTGAAACACTGTAACCTAAATGACACATTTTCTACACTTTACTGGTTTATAATTTTAAGTTTGTTAAGAAAAGTAAAGTCTGCAGGCTTTTCTGGCACCAGCGACTCTCCCTCTCCTCTTGCTCTCTCGTGAGCTTGCAGCGAGGAGTGACAGTGGGTAACTATGGTTACGCTGTGCGTGTCTGACGCCATGAGACTTTCTTTTCAATACAGTCTGCCAATATAATAACATAGCACTGTGTTGCCAACAACACCCTCTAAAATCAATCTCTCAAAATCTCTCATACCAGATAAGAGATCTCAAAAGTCTCTTCTTTATGAAAAAAATATTACATACTGCACATTAATTATATATGTTAAATAGGTTTTCTGTGCACACAGGACAACGTCTGAGCAGTCTGACACAGTTTGAGTGGCTGTACTTGACAGAGGCACACCCACATACCACTCCGACTTTAAGAAAAAAAAACCTTTCATACAGTTTTGACTCACTTTGTGCATAAAAAATACAACTCTTAATGGATACTTTTAAGAGGTTAGATTACGAATAATGTGACCCTCATGCATTAGTATTTAAAGCTCTATTTATCAGTAGTCTCTCATTGATTAATACCTTAATTTAGCTGTCAAGGAGTCACAAGATCACTTTCCTAGTCTTGTCAGTAAATATGTGTGAAAGAAAAATATGCCAAATCCAAAATACTTGAGCTGAGAACTCTTTCTCTTTCATTTATTTCTAGTTTGTCTTTCTAGTTTAATAAAATCTAGTTTGTTTTCAAAATGTTCCTGCGGGATTCACTGCCTTGGAACAATGTGTTCTCTTTCACTGAATTTTCATACAATGTTTGCAGATGTAGCTACTTTGCCAACCGTCCAGATTCTCCTGAGGGCCCCTTTTCTCAATGCCCCCTTCCCTCCCTCCGCAGTCCTCCTGACTCCAACAAAATGACTCCATAAATTCACTAGAATGCAGGAAAGCAGTCTGAAGTCAGCGGTTTTCTGGGGGAAGATCCTCAGACACGCTGGTTAGGTTATTATTATTATTATTATTTAGGCTATGATGTCTGGAGGTCAATCATACTTATTCATTATTGACCGTGGTTATTGACTTGGCTTTTTTTATCTGTGAATGCTTTAAACTGTGACTGCTGAAACTCCTGGGGGTTGAGGGCTGATGACCCTGGGTAATGTCACAGAAGGCCTACTCATAAAATGCCTTCACTGATACCGAATCTCACTACAAACTGAATAGAAAACTTAGTAGCCTCCTTAACATTAGCATTTAGCTCAGCCCAACACAGTTGCTAGTGTGCTTTTTATTTTATTAACCAAGCGCTTCTGTTTGCTTTCTTTACAGATCGTAACATTATTAAATTAATTATTGTAATGTGGTTTTATTTAACGCTACACAAGGCTAGCTGTTAGCATGTCCAGTGTGTCTTATTTTCACTTACTTAAATTGCAACCAAGTGGTTTAATGTTTAATGTAGCCTCTTCTGTGTTGAGCAATTCAGTGAAAAAACTGAAATAAAGAAATTAAGTTTCTATCAAATGTCACCTTCGCTGGTCATCAGAATCAGGTTTATTGCCACGTAGGATTTCACATATAAGAAAATTGCAAATATAAATAGAAGAAGAAAAATATAAATAAAGATAAAATGTCATGGGGCCTGACTTGGTTCCATACTGAGATGAGCTCTATGGTAATTTTTGAGGCCGTGGTTAATATTAGATTGTATTAAGTTGTTATTTTGTCCACAGTGGTGCCCAACCTGGGGGTCGGGACCCCCCGAGGGTTCGCCAAAGCTTCACAGGCATTCTTAAAAATGATACACAGTAGGAGTAAATGTCATTTGATTCATTTTTGTGAGGAAAACTAAATTAAAATGTTATTTTTAAAGTTTAGATTATTATTTAATATCTATCTAATATCTATTTAATAGCCTTCACTCACTGCTAAACAGCCTCATC